TTCTCCCGCCCCCCCCCCCACCGCCATTCTCTTTATTGGATTATAAATACCCTCCAGGCATTTTACTCTGGAACAAAACTGCTTCCTGCCGTGGGAGTTGGAAGGCAGCGGATAACACAGCCACAGCGGCGCATGGCCAGAATCCGCGGCGCGCTTTGGATGTACTTTGGCATCACGCTGGCCAAGCAGATTACCCTCGCCCGCTCCCTGAGTCTTGATTAAACTCGAACCCTATGACATTAATCCCATTCATCTGCATCTTCAATCTGTGCAGCAGGTCAGCAATTCCCGTAAGTACCACGCTTCCCGTCAGGAGAAAATGACATTGATTTTTTTTCCAGTTAACTCAAAAAGAAATTGACGGGGTGACCTGACAGCTGAGGTTGGGAATGGACCAGGGAGACTTTCCCCTCTAGGGCACTGGGTCTGATTCAGCCTCGTTACAGTTATAACTAACTCCCTGGTAACACTGCCACCCCCTAAATAAAGGGATGATGGAGATCACCTCCCTTGCTCTGATGGAATTGTTACCCCCATTCCCTCCCCAAAACCTCTGGCTTCTGTTAAGCCCGCCGGGCTAGAGAGGACTTTCCCATACAAATACCAGGTGGGTAGTGGGAATGTCACCGCACCTCCTGCTTTTCCCCCTTATCCAGAAATCTACTGCTGAGGAGCAAATTCTGTGCCACCGAATTGGCCAAGTCTGCACCAAATGGCAGACAGGAAGAGCCTGGCTGGCCGCCCCCTTGCACCATGTGCTAATCGTTGACGTTTGATCAGCATGGGTGGAGAACGCTACTCAATCCGAATGCATTGGTGGTAGCCACTTACCCCTCTGAGCACAGGTGCCGGTGATAATGCAGGGTGCAATGCAGAGGGGAATCAGGCCCAGTGATTGAGATTTGCAAAGCCCGCGAGGGGATTCAGCGGCCCCCACTTGCTAGCAAATGGGGGTCATGTGGGGACCTCACGCCATCGGCTTTGAAAATCTCAACCAATGTTTCTCCTGGGGAAGCATCAAAGTTCAGGGCTACTGCACCTGTATTCCCTCTCTATGGTCCAACAAAGACACCCACTCTAGGCTCCTGGCTCCCCAGCTTTCACCCCTCTTGGGCGGAGACCCGCGTCTCTCCCTCCACACTGGGATTTTTCCAGGCTTCACAGCTCCCTGCCAGCACTGTGATATCCCCGGCAAGCCAGACCGCCTAAAAGGCCTGTATCTGCATTCTGCTTTCTCTCCAAAGGCAATGACCAGGTCATTGCCCACAGCTCTGTTACCCCACACCTCTTTCTAAGCAAGCACATTTATTCTTAAGGTAAAAGCATGACAGAGAAAACATATAAAAACAATCAAAGAAATGACACGCATGCTAATAAGCTTACCAGAGATCACCCCCTACTCCAGCCTTAAGTCCGGCAGGTGTCAGGATGGGGGTTCCTCTTGGACAGAAAGATCTGTCCATTTGCTGCATCAAAAAGAAGGCCCGGCGTCAGTTTAAACTCAGGCTGTTCATCCAAAAGTCCTTTCTTCGTCCGTTGGTCTCTGGAGAATCCAGTCTGAACCAATATATGCAGGTCTCTCCAGGTGAGGGTGCCTCCGTAGAAGTGTTAGAACCTGAGTGAAATTGTCTGCATTACCCCACACTGTACTTCCTCCCCCGTGGAATTACAGATAATCCCCAGCCCACAATGATCCACCATCTTAATACAGTGAGATCTCCCAAAGATAGTGCAGGAAATTGCCAGATCTGTCACTGTAGGATTCCCCCACAGTGCCCCTTCACTGCAAAACAGGCACGATTAGCAACGTAGCGTGAGCCAGATCTTCAGGCAGTGTCAATCAGTGCAGCCCTGCTGACGCGTCAGGGGCGTTTTACTGGCTAACACCTGTCAAGGATCTCGCCCAGAATTTTTTTTTTTAGAGGCACTGTATAAATATGGCCAACAAAGTGCAAGCGCCTGGAGGACTCTGCCTGGAGCTGCTGCCTTCGCCCTTGGGTGGGGCGAGAGCATTTTAAACTGGATTCCCCAGTTCCTCACCCCCCTTTCTCTGCATTCCGCACACCCCTGGCGTCCATCCGGGGCATTTCACTGGCTAAGGGGGGAGATGGCCATGTTGGAGGAGCCCCTGGTTAAAGCGCTGGCAGTGCCTTGCGGGATTGGACGTGGCCAGCAGTTGTTCCCATCTGGCAGCCGTTCGCAGGCTTCTGTGAAAGGAGATGGTGGTTTGAGCTCAGCGCCTCGTGGGCAGGAGTCCATTGCACATAAACCAGCGTCACTGGCCGCTCCCTCACAGAGAGGGACACAATGAATCATGGAGGAGGCTGAACACGGCCTAGCGATTGCCGGGCCTAGCGACCGGGGGAGGTGGGGGGGCTCATCAGCTAGGCAGGAGGCGAGAGCTTGCCTCTTGTAACAGTCCAGACTTTCCCTGTTCTGTGGGGAAATCAGGGACTTTGCTCCAAATTCCCTGTAAACCTCTGCAAGCTATTTTTTTCTAAGGGAAAACACACCCATTTACTCCTCCCTCCCTGGGGTGGACAGGTACGGCCTGCTTCTAGCAGCTGGGGGAATCCACTCTGGGCACCTGAGCTTGGAACGGCGGCGTTGACTCCCCTAGAATTGACGTTAGCCTCCTGGCCAGGGAAGTGCCATAGTGATGAGGTGTGGAGAGATCGGCTTAGCGGCGTGACTCCTGATTTATGCCATGTAGGGTGGCCACCTGTGTTGGATGGAAATAAGGGAAAACCACATGAAAAATAAGGGACAACACTTTGTTTTAAGGGACATTTTAGGGAAACAACATTTCCTTTACCATATCATGGATTTTTCTCTCATTTCTGTACCTTTCCACTGTCCTCTAGTATACAATGCAATTATCATACGCTTCAGCTAATGTTTAAAAATGGTCCAGGGACACCATTTAAAATAAGGGACAGGTGGTCACCCTAAGACGGATCAAGGAAATAAGGGACAGGTGTGTCACCCGCACTCCACGACGCTACAATCAAGCCCTACGTCTGCTTGTGAATGCAGCGCTGTCCAAAACACAGCTGTCCGCTCCTCTCCCTCTGGCCAGCCTCCTTCGCAGCAGGATGGTGTCGCGAGGGCTGCCGGAGGTCGCGCCGGACCACGGGAGCTTCCTGCTTTGGCATTCAAGAGCCGAGTGCGTGCCGATGTGTGAAGAATAATAGTTCGGCCTCCCACGAGCGGATCTTGCGGGAAGGTTTTTCTCAAGCTGTGTGCGCTGGGAGTCTCATCTCCCTGCGAGAGGCCGAGAAAAGCAAAGGGAACAGCAAGCAGGCAAAGGGACGCTTTCAACGTCTCCGTTTTGTCCTGATGCCAATAGATGGGGATGGCTGGTTTTGGACGCATTTGAAATGCAGGCTACACAATAGCTGACAAGCAAGAGAAGGGACCTAATTGATATTTGGCCACACAGTGGCTCCTCTGTTAAAGGCTTTGCCCCAGTCAGCATGTGCTATAGCAACCCCGGGCCACGGGCTGCCAAGGGGGTGGCTGGCAAAACTGGGGGCTTTCTGGGGCTGAAAAGCAGGTGTGCTGGCGGGGACAGCAGCCTGGCTCATGAGCTCCCAGCAGCCTCAGCGTTATCGGAAATAAACAACCAACCCGTTTGCGCGAGGATAATGAAGTCTTTTCTCCTCCTGATCAGAAGCACTTGATTTGTACTCCAGAGACCACACTCAGCCTCCATTGGCCAGGACCGGTCTGTGATTGATGAAAAGAGCCCCCGATAGAACATCTTGGCAGAACCCTGGTCACCTCCCTCCTTCTTCTTCAAGTTTCGCTTTTAAGGGGCACCGTCAATTTAGTGTAAGCCCTAAATTGTTTATTTAATTGTTTGTTTCCTCTTTTTAAAGGGACAAGGGCCTGAGCCAAGTCCCTTGAAATCAATGGAAAGACTTCCAGTGACTTCAGATCAGGCCGTGAAGGTGGCTTTTCCTGCTGTGGGCTTTTAGACATTGTTATTATTTAAACCAAATCAGGTTTTTTTCTCCCTGCGTGGAAGCATTTCTCTGTCGGGCTGGGAAACCAAGCAAGCACAACAGCTTGCTAGTGCAGGAGAACCGGAAAGTGAAACTGACCGGGAATGGGATGTGAAAGTGACCAGTCTTGTTTCATTGGGCCAAACCCAGTTTGCAAAGATCAAGAGGGAGCCAACTAGCTTTCTCGGATAGTGTTGTTAACACTCTCCTATGCCCATGGTATCTACACCTACCCTGAGCACAGAAAAGCTCTTCTGTGATCCGCGGCTGGTGGCAGAGCTGTGATGTGTGAAGGGATAGAATTCCTGATTTTGGTTAACCGCATGTCAGTGCTGCTGGAGAGAAAGCTGGAAGGAGCAAGGGCAGTGTGGTTTTAAGTTTTTCAGATGGTGGCAAAAACAAACAAACAGCTGCCAGGTCACGTTTCCAGAGCTCTTCAAATCCGCTTTATCATTGTATCACAGTAGCAGCGACAGGCGCCAATCAAAATCAGACTGTGCTCGGTGCTGTATGTACACAGAGCGAGAGCCAGGCCCTGCCCTGGAGAATTTACAGACAAAGGGTGGGAGGAGAAACAGAGCAGCAAAGTGGCCGGCCAGCCATAGGCACCGACTTCCCCACTTTCCCGTGGGTGCTTGATCCCCCCCCCAATCCCATTCCAACTCCTTCCCCAAAGTCCCCGCCCCAACTCCGCCCCCTCCCTGCCAATATTCCAACTTCTTCCCCAAATCCCCAGCCCCGCCTCCTCCTCTGAGTGTGCTGTGTTCCCGCTCCCTCCTGGAGTGTGCTAACGCTGCCAAACAGCTGTTTGGCGGCGACCGGGCAGGAAGCACTGAGAGGTAGGCGGAGGAGCAGGGACGCAGCGCACTCAGGACGGGAGGAGGAGGTGGTGGGGCGGGGAGTGAGGGGAGCTTGGCTGCCGGTGGGTGCAGAGCACCCACTAATTTTTCCCCATGGGTGCTCCTCCCCCGGAGCACCCATGGAGTTGGCGCCTATGTGGCCAGCAGCTTATTGGCACAGCCAAGAACTGACCCCAGTGTCCTGACTCCCAGCTGTGTGCCCTACCCTTTAGATCACATGCCAAGCCTAAGCGACTTCTTTTCACTATGTATTATTTGCATTCCAATAGGACCTAGAGGCCCCCAACCAATACTGGGGCCCCCTTGTGCTGGACACGGTACATCCAAGGAGTGAGAGACAGTCCCTGCCTCTAAGAGTTCACAGTCTCACTAGACAAGGCAGACAAAGGGTGGGTGGGGAAACAGGCAAAGAGAAGTGAATAGCTCTAAAAATCTCGCCCTAAGTGACTTACCCAAAGCCGCACAGGGACTCTGGGATGGAGTTTAGGGCCCTCAAGTCCCAGCACAGCTCCAGTCCCTAAGCTACAAGATCATCCAACTTCTTTATCTCACCCATGGCTGGCCGCAGTGGGGAATTGAAAAATCTGGGATTTTCAGGCTGGCTGCTCCCCGCACTCCAGTTCCCAAGATTTTTCTTGGCCCTATGGCCCGAAAAATTACCCAGAAAAAGATGTTTAATGAGGAAAATATTTTAAGTGACTCTAGAGAATGGTGGGAGTTGGAAGTTCAATGAGCGTTCGCTTGCCAGCTGGTCTAATCCAGACCCCTCTCTCTTGTCCTCCTCTGTTTTACGCAGTGGGCCCAATTCTTCACTCTGTTACTCGTCTTTAGTGCCCGTGTAACTCCATTAAATTCAATGGCGGAGGGGATGTCCATTGGTTTCAGGGGAGTTAGGCTAGGGTGTAATACTGGAGTAATGCGGCGGGGAATCGGTCCAAATGACACCCACGCAGCTGCAGTGCTGAGAACTCGGGGGCTCCCCCGCAAAAGCCCAAGGACCTCCTCACTCTCCTTTCACTTACACAGGTGGAAATCAGGGATAGCTCTGCTGAAGTCATTGAGTGTAAACGTAAACGAGAGGGGAATCAGAGGCTGAGTCTCAGGCCAAACGCCTGAGGTTAGGCAAGTATGGGCCCACCCCAAAGAAGGCTGCATTTCCATAGCAACGGAAGTTTGTAGCGTACTGTGGGTGAAAGGTCTGGGAGAAGGGGCAGTGCAGTTTAGTGGACTAGGAGTCAGGAGACGCTGGTTCTATTCCTGCCTCTGCCAAGCAAATCACTTTGCTGCTCTATGCCTCAGTTTCCCCTCCTATCCTTTGTCTATCACAGGGGTAGGCAACCTATGGCACGCGAGCTGATTTTCAGTGGCACTCACACTGCCCAGGCCCTGGCCACCGGTCCGGGGGGCTCCGCATTTTAATTTAGTTTTAAATGGAGCTTCTTAAATATTTTAAAAACCTTATTTACTTTACATACAACAGTAGTTTAGTTATATATTATAGACTTATAGAAAGAGACCTTCTAAAAACGTGAAACTGTATGACTGGCACGATTCTACAATAAAACCTATTAGGTAAACAGCAGATGCAATGGTCTCACACGTGTGGTGAGAAATGAAGCAATACATTGTCTTGTGGAACAAGAAATAACATTTGTCGACAAACCCCTGATTAGAGAGACATGCGTCCAATAGATATGTCAGGAGTGGAGGTTACTGGATTGTTTTCTCATTCACACGCACTCGTTTCCAACGACTTTTTTTTTTTTAAAGCTGATTTAAAAGCCCTGAAATCTGTAGCTGAATGCATCTGAAGAGGAGAAAGGTAGATGACACTTTTGCTACCTACCTGTAGGCCATGTCTACACAACCACTTATGCCAGCAAAACGTATGTCACTCAGGGGTGTGAAAAAAAAAAACACCCCCCGGAGCAACATACGTTTTGCCAGCATACGTGGTACGTGCCCAGCGCTGTCGGTGAGGAGCTATTTCCCGTCAGCAGTGAGCAGCATATGAGTGACCTTCCAGCGATGCACCTGCATTGGTGCAGCCATGCCGGGTAAGCTCGCTAGTGTAGACACGGCCTAAGCACCTTTCCCAGGCCTGAAGAAGATCTGTGTGTGTAGCTCGGAAACTTGTCTCGCTCACCAACTGAAGTTGGTCCATTAAAAGATATTCCCTCCCCCACCTTGTCTCTCTAATCTCCTGGGACCAACACAGCTGCAACAATTCTGCATATGAGCTACTCTGGGCTATTTCCCCAGGTAGACAAGTCCTTAGAGGTTAGTGGTTATTAATAATTCTAATAAATCATACAGATTTTGATCTTCTGTAGCACCTTCCACCAAAGCTACCAGAGCCCATTACAGACCCTGATGAATTGATGCTGCCAACAGTCCTGCAAGGTTGGGGGATGGTACTATCCCCATTTTACAGGTGGGGAAACTGAGACATGGAGAAATTAAGACCAGCATTTTGCAAAAACAACATGGAGCACCTTGTCTCTAAAGGTGCCACAAGGGCTCCTCGTTGTTTTTGCCGATACAGACTAACACAGCTACCCCTCTGAAACCCCTACTTTTGAATTTCCCAAGTGCTGAGATGCACAGCTCGTGCGATTTCAGCCGGCGTGCCAGATGTTCAGCTTCTCTGGAAGTCAGGGGTACCCCCAGCTGGAGACGGCAGGATCACAGACTTGCCTGGCATTGCTCAGTGAGTCCACAGCAGAGTCAGGGATGCAGCCTAAGAATCAGCTCCCAGTGCCCCACTCTGGGTGCGCCTTGAGGGGTCAGTTAGTGTCTGGACCGCAGGGGCCATTTCTGATGGAGCTGCCTCACGGCCGATGTATCAGCCGAGAGAGGCACGTGCGCCGCTGGTGTCTGAAATGCATCTCACCCTGCCTCCTTGTGTTCCAGGGGACGGATGTGGTCACACCGTGCTGACGCCTCACAGTGGGACACTGACCTCCAAGAACTACCCTGGCACGTATCCCAATCACACAGCCTGCGAGTGGAGGATCCAGGCAGCCGAAGGGAGCTCTCTCCTCCTGGCCTTCGGGGACATGGACATCGAATCCTCCCAACGCTGCGCTTCTGGCTTCTTGCTGCTCTCCTCCCCTTCCAATGGCACCAGCCGCGGTAAGGACTTCCCTGGCACAGCCTTCGCCGCTCGGGCAGAGGCAGCCACCAAAGCACCACGTTGCAGGGCGTACGGAGGGGATTTTTCCTTGCCTCCCTCGGTGGGCATAGAGCTCC